CTGCTGAACACCTGGTAGCTCCGAGTCTGGTTTGAAGGGCTACACTTGGACATGTTTGAAGCCATGGTTTAGATTCTGGTAGGGGTGTTCATTAAACTGATTAAACCTAAACAGTTTAAGATTTAAGATTATTTGTGTTAATACTTTTGCAATCTGGCATAGCTGAGAAAAGAATTTGGCCGGGGTGTTTAGGCGCGAATTAAATTATAAGAATTTGTGTTCAAGCACAATTGTACTTATCATTATCTTCCTTGCAAGTGTACATTATTTGCATACTATTTTTCAGAAAACCAAAACTTTTATTCTAGCAGCTCACAGTTTTTTGCAGAAATGTTGGCGGAGAGCTTTCTCATAGCTGTTTTTGAAACACGTTTGGGTAACGGGCTGCCAACAGATTGCCCTTTTAAGATTTGTATTTTACTCGCAGCTATGTGCAGAAATCTTTGAAGAACTTGAAAGTAACCTATCTCCCCTTAACAATTATTTTTATCTGGAATGGTTGTTCCCACATCAGACACAGGTTTATAGGTGAACCTGAGAGCCTGAAGTCGTCTGTCTGGTGTGGTGCATGCGCCTATCCATGTCTTACTGGAACCGCAGCTGTGCTGGGCTGACCTCCACTTTCCCATTCAGATGGATGCTGCATCTGCTTCTGTCAAGTGTGATCTCTGAGGGCCTGGGCAGGGATACCCAGCCAGCTGTAGCACCTCTTATACAATTTACAATTAGTTTGATGCTAAAGCTGTGATCTACACTGCTAGGCCTTAATTATGAAAAAGAAGTTGGATATCAACTCATCAGAAAATGCATTTGTTTTGCTTCGTTTTTCTAACTGGCACTTCTGATGGATTCTGGAATTTTCCGTTTCCTTTTGGACTTGCTCCTTTGCATAAACAGCCACATGGGGTGTGTGATACAATCTTACGACCTCTGGTTGTGGTGTAGCTCAAGTGAAAGCCAACCAGAGGCTTCACAGAATTATTGCTATTAGTCTCATGCAAAGATCAGGTTTTGTTTGAAGTCTGCCACGCTTTTGAGTGATAACATGGTGGGATTTATTTATTTATTTATTTTTAACTAGCGGGTAAGATTCCTTTATCACACACAAAAAATTAGGTCAGTCAGAGAGTCTGAGATGCTCTCAGTTGAGTCTGGGATACTTACATGGTTTGTCATGGAGGTACTGAAACCCAGCATCTGTCTGTGCTGTGGAGAATAGCAGACTTGGATCTCTTTGAATGAAAGTAGTGGCTCCAACTATGTTGCAACCCCATCTAGGCTCCGAAATGGGCTTTTAAAGAGCCAGGAAGTTCTTCTCCCAGTTTAATGAAACATTTTAACCTTGTGCCTTCCAGGGATGTCCCATCTAACATGGCCAAATGGACGTCACCCCTTGTAGGACCTTGGTTTTGCAGACCAGCTGGTTGTGCACTGCCAAGGGTGGAGCGGGGGGACACCATGCTGCCGCTGAGCACCTGCTGTGTGGAAAAGCACAGGAGGACAGTTCAGCTTACTGCCCTGTGTGGGAGGCGTATTGCCGGTCTTGGTGTTTGATCTTCAGATGGTACAAATTATTGCTCCTTTGTGTGGTACTGATATGTACAGGCATATGTCAGGAAATATAAAAGCAGTGAAATGATTAGTTGGTAAGGAAAGAACCTGTGCTAAATTATTTCCTTGCACCAGCAACACAAACATAGGTAACTGTCCCATCGCTGCCTTTTAACTTTATACCATAATTCATATTCTGATATTCACATCCTATTTATGATGTTGCCTAGCATGTGTATTTTTTCTACATCCCTTCCTCTGTCTCTGCAGCCTTCGTTATGTTCTCATGACTGTCTTGACTACTTAAACTTGTTCTTGCCCTCGTTTGTCACAGTTGCATGGAGTCCCAAACAAATACCCTCTCCGCAGGTACAGATCTCTAGTGCTATTGATGCACATCTCCCTTCCATCCACTGGTTACCGTTTATTGTTTGCAAGTTACAGACAGAACTACATGTGTGTGACAGGGAGAGCTGGGACCCCATTGCTTTTGAGCTATATCAAAGAAAAGACACTGTATAATACCACATTAAGTTTGACATTCTTTTCAAAACCCCCTTCTTTTCATTATTCCTCCAGGGAATAATTGGGAATGTATAATGTGGTTACTGCATTTTCTTCTTTGATATGTGCACATACAAGATGGTATCCTCCCACAGAAGGATTTTTGCTTGGAGAAATTAAATGCCCAAGTATGTTTAAATGAATAAATCATTCATTTTTAAGTGCCTCTGTATTCATGAATCATAACATAGACATGAGCTAAGCAAAATACAACTTCTTAAAAGCAAACAGTATAATAAATATGCCTTGGAAATAGTCACTTGAACCATTTCAAAACCTCCTCTTGAAAGCAGATTACAAACGCTTAAAATCTTCAAATGGAAATGCAAATTTTCAAAGCCTTTTTCAGCGTGAGATAATTTGATTGCAGGAGACATCTTGACAGATATGTTTCTGTTGAAAGGCTACAGCCTTTGCCGGGTACCTTGCAGGAGGTGTCACTTCTGACACAAAAGATGCTCTGAGCCCATGGATAGGAGTACTCTCTCCATTTCAGAATGAAGTGCTGAAGTGATGTGGGCTATTTGAGCATGCGGAGACTCAGAGGTGGAGAAGGGTGTTAGGAGACAAGTTCTCAATTGCTAGCTGTGATTCATAACAAAAAAATAAATATACTTGTAAGCTTACCTGTACCTGACTGAACTTGTTCTCCTGGCAGTGTGAAGGCCTGTGATATCCGCCCCATACCCACAAGGTTTCAGATAAAACAAATAAGCCCAAGTTTTTGAGAGTGTCAAGTGCTGCTCCAGGTGAGGTGGGCTGCAGACACAGCACAGCACAGACCTGCTATGCAGAGGTGCTGTCTTCAGCCCAGGAGGCTGACCCGCCACATACGTGAAGCACTGTCTAGTAAATCCTGCCTCTCCAAAGATGTAGTCAGCTCAAGCAGAGAGTCGCCCTGCTTTGGCTGTACCATTTCTGAAGCGGCCATACCCTTTCCGGCTGCAGAACGGGAGTTGTTGGGTGCTGACATGAGTGACTCTGCTCGCCAGTGTAGAAAAACCTGAGAAGCTTTGACTTCCAGAAAGGGAGAAGTACTGACCCTCTGAAAATCAGGCTCCTTTAAGGGCATCTCAGATGGCATGCTCGAATATCAAAGCATCCCTAGCATTTATTACCCTTTAGAAAGTAGGGCCGTAAATTCTCATTCAGATGGAAGAATTATTTGTAACCTGCAAAAAAGCTACCAGATTTTCCAGTAAAGACTTTGTGAGGTTGTATTCATTAATCTCATTAAATCTTGAGATCATTCAGTGGTGAGCACTGTTTACATTGAAGTATTTATTCTGTTCTTTCTGATCATTCTTTACCCTGCCTACTGGATAAGTCCTTGCCTTTGTTTAGCTTTGGAATTGCTATTTTTAAATGGTTGACATGTATTTATATTTTTAGCAATGCCATTTTCCCAGGTGTTACCCAAGTTTCTTCCGGAAGATCTAAGACCTAGCCAACATAATGAATCACTGACACTGTTTTCTTTTTTGTGATGGTGTCCTGGTTTAGGCAAAGGTTTGAAACAACGTCTACCTAAAAATGAATAATGATGATTTTCTTGTAATTTCTGTAGCAATGCTGCCCACTACCCAAAAGCGTGTCTAAACATTAGATGGGGCCTGGCCCGTTAGGCAGCTCGACCCAATGTAGTGTTGCACCATGCACTGGTGATCCCCAACAGCCCAGTTCTTGAGCCAGGTCAGCCAAGAGGGCACCAGAAAAGATGGGGGTGAATCCTAGACCCCGCACGTGTTAGCGAGTCATCCCTCTCCTGAGCTGACTGCCCTGATTTCCCGGGCACACAACCAGCCCCTCCACCCCACCTCCACCCGTATTTGTTTTCTGGCCTGCTGGTTCTTAAATTCCTTCTGGCAAAGTAATACAGTTTCCAACCCATTATGTAAGGTTCATGTTTGTCACCTCTTAACCTCTAGATGTGTGTTTTTCTTTTGATCCGTGTTTTCCAATGTGTCTAAGAGCAGGCTGTGCCTAAAAGAGTAAAGACGCATTCCTTCTGAAGCTACGTATTCATTTTGTTCAATTAATATTGTGTAGAGAGAGCACTGGTGGGTTTTGTATGTATACATTACTAGAAACCAAAATTACTGTGTGCTGGAGATAAAATTAGCTTTTGAAATTCCTTTTCCCCTTTAAAATAAAAATAGCAGAATCTGCCTTTAATTGACCACCTCAGTCATCACAGAGGCTTCCTGTGCACAGAGGCTTTGCTTTTAATATCTGTTTTCCCTTGGCTTTAAAGAGTAGTCTTTATTTGCAAGTTTATTATAGAAGCGTTCAAATTAGAGGTGGGCTGAAACCACAGAGTTTATGTCCGGATCTGGATGCAACTTTCTAAAAGGTTTTTGATTGTCCTGACCAGAGATTACAGAGGTGTCTATAAAATTCAGGTTCAGAGCCACATCTCCTGGGTGTGGAAACACAACATCTTGGTTCAAGCCCTTCTCTTCAGTGTATTTTGTAAAGCAAATTTGTTTAGTGGGTTATTACTGGGCTGACAGAGAGGAAGAGCTTCCCATATTTTATTTCTTTTTTAAATAAGAAATGTAAACAGTACTTTCCTAGACACGTAACATTGTGAACAAGTGTCATTCAACAAAAGATGTTCACAACCTCCTTGATTGTGTTGAAGACCTTCTCAGCACAGTCTCATGATAATTTACACTTTTCTATCACAGGGCTGGGAGAAGGTTCTGCTCTTCTTCACCCGGACAGCAGGTCCCACCCTCGGTCCTTGGAGAAGAGTGCATGGAGGGCTTTCAAGGAGTCACAGTGTCATCACATGCTGAAACACCTTCACAATGGAGCCCGGATCACTGTGCAGATGCCTCCCAATATTGAGGGACACTGGGTCTCTACTGGGTAAGGAAAGATAAAACAAGATGCTTGAGTGATGTATGTGGGAGAGAAGAGGGGAAGGAAGTGGAGAAGGAAGGACAGATATTCCCACTTAAAGCAGCAGGGGAAATATTTTCTTTGATATCACTATATTAAAGTGCTCTAAATTCCAGATGCTTTCTATATGTTTATGCATAAAAGGAGGCGTGGAGTTATGTACATTAGAATATCATGCTATGAAGCTGTCTTGATGAATCAATTTATAGTCTGGATTTTAAGCAGCATGCTGTGAAATAACCTTAAATCTCTCTCTGAGTAGGAAGGAGCCCAAGTTGCCAAAATAGATGTTTGTTCAAACATAACATTGTACTATCTTTGACTACGTGCATTAGATCCATTGAGTAGGTCCTTGTTTTCAGCGCATATGTCTAGCACAGGTTTTATTAGCAAAAGAAATTAAGAAGCTGTATTTCACCAGTTCTATTACTCTCCGTACATGATGACTTGTAATTCAGAGAGCTATTTTGTTTTCTGTGTGTCAGCAGGTAATATTCACATGCTTATTTGAAGTGACTTGTAGGAGGAAAGACTGGGCTATTTTAACAGAAAGGAGTGTATTTATGTTAAGCAGCGTGGATGTGACAAGGGGGACAAGTTTGAAGGCATAAAAGGACTTTCTACAGCAAGTGGAATTTAACTGCCATTTACACCTTTAGAAAAAAAAAAGAAAAAGCACAAAACTTGAATATTGCATGGTCCATATTCAAGCCAAACATAAGTTCTGCATTAACGGTCAGATGTTTGCATTAACTGGCAGCCCTGTTGAAAGTATGGGTGGAAAAGCTGAGGACACAATCCTGCACATCCTCTGCAGACCAGAGCTGGAGGAGCTCTACTGAGAAGCTTCTACGGCAGCATAGAATCCAGTTCTTTGTACTGTTCTGTAGACATTTGGCATTTCACTTTCTGATGTTACCAGTCCTTTTGCTAAATGTACCATGCAAAAGAGAAGAATAGATTTTTAATAAGCTGCTATTTTTTTTCAGAGAAGAATTGAGTCACATGGTGGTCCCCAGACAGAAAGGAAAAGCAGAACATCACTCAAAGTATTTAAATCTACGAAGACAATGCCCTTAGTTAGATATGAGCACCCTGAAGCAGTATATTAATAACAGCATAACAGCAGAGGAAATGGTTGGTTAATTGGCAGGTCACAGATGCCTAGTTCCTATTTACTGTCATTCACGCCACAGGGACATCAGCACCCAAGTGTCTCTGTGGACCCATGCTTAGTCTTGTTACCTGTAGTCTACATGATGTGCCACCTTGCTCAAACTTTGTTTCCGTCACTTTCTGTCTTCCCACAGCTGCGAAGTTAGAGCAGGCCCAGAGTTCATCACAAGATCTTACAGGTTCTACCACAATAATACATTTAAGGCCTATCAGTTTTATTACGGTGGCAATCGCTGCACAAACCCTATCTACACATTAGTTATACGTGGCAAAATACGTCTCCGCCAAGCATCCTGGATCATCCGAGGGGGTACGGAAGCTGATTATCAGCTGCGCAACATACAGATCATATGCCATAACGAAGCAGTAGCCAAGAAATTAAGTGAGCTGGTGAACCACACATGTCCTGGATTTATACCAGAAGGTAGTCCCTGGGAGCAGGATGTGAGCTACGATTTGCTGAGAGAAGAGAACGGCTGTGAATGCACCAAAGCTCTAAATTTTGCCATGCATGAACTCCAGCTGATCCGCGTGGAGAAGCAATACCTGCACCACAATTTAGACCACCTTGTGGAGGAGCTATTTCTCGGGGACATTCATACCGATGCTACTCAGAGGAGGTACTATCGGCCCTCTAGTTACCAACCTCCTCTTCAAAATGCCAAGGTATGTGCATGTATATATGCCCTCTTTTTAAGGTACTAGTGACAAAGCCCACGTTATTCAGCTCTTCTGAGTGAGTGCACTAGTGCAACCTAAAATGTAGATGTGGTTCTAAAACAAGAGGCGGATTGCACCCTTACAGATGATGCAGCCGATTAAAAAAAGGCCACAGAGAATATTTCTTGAGAATAGTAACTGTATGTGACTGTATCAGATGTGCAAAAACCAGTCTGATGAACTAAGGTCAATAAAGGCCGCTCTGAAGATGGAATAAATGACTTGTATGCAGAGGAGGTAGTTGTTGTCAGGGACCATGGCTGTAGGCTAGCAGCTGAGAAGAGAGAAAGTTTGATACGGGACTGAGAAAGGACAAGAGAAACAGGCATCGGTATAGCTGTGGGAGTGCCAGGGAGAGAGTAAATCGAATTGTCTCAGCATATGGAGGCTGGGTGATCCATAACCTGAAGAGAAGAAGAGGAAATTGGAATGTAGGCACATGAAAGGGGCAGCATGAAGGGAAAAAACTGATGGGCTGTGCAGGTCATGGATCCAGATGCAGACACAGACATTAGTGAAATGAAAAACAGGTGAATTTTGAATGAGGCTGTTACTCCATTTGATAATTCAGTTTTCAAAGGGGCCTCAAAGTGCCCTCAGCTTCATTGGGAACTGATCAACCCATAGTAAGTTAAATAAAAATCAAACAGGAAGAGTAGACGCTGATGGCCTGTAGCAGGAGGGCTGTCTGTAGATCTTTCCTGGTGACATTTCAAAGGCAGGCGGCTATTGGAACCATATTGCCAGCTGCTGCCGCCATCGGTGCGCTCCAGCTGGGTGCTGCCGCAGCATCACTTCCAGCTAATGGGTTATCACCATTTTTAATCACCTCGTTGCAAGCGATTCAAAAATCAGCTACAGCTTATCAGCAATAGCAGGAAACACAACAGGGGAAGGGGGAGTTTTCATGAGAAGGCCTTGGCTTCCCCTTCCATTTGAAACCATTCACCCTGGCTTGTGTCTATCTGTGAACATCACATTTCAATGGTTCAGGACCTTACGTGGTCTGCCTTTAATTTTTTTAATAGCCTGGCCTAGTGATACTTTTAAACAAGTCAACTGTGTCTCTGTATGAATGCTGCTGTCATTTCTGTCTGTCATTTTTATGCTCTCTTCAAGTGACCAGGGACAAATTTGCTTTTTCTTTTTAAACATAAGCCTTCCCAAAGTGGAGAGTTTCAGCAGCAGCAGATAAACCACAGCACATTCCTCATCAAAATGTTGGATTCAGCAATTGTATTTTCCTTAATTAATTCAAACAAGCACATCAACTTCCTCTTTGCTTATTTGGGAGTGAGGGTTCTTTCCTAAATCTCTTCCTTGTATGTATCTACAGGTACAAATTATCTGACACCACCTGTATGTTGTATCTGCTCTAGAAAATATGGTAGATCTTTTTCTGACCACATGAAACAGAGACAAAAATCTTGATTTAATTTACCCTAGCTGATTGTTTTTCAGGTCTATCTGGTCAAATCTAGTTGTCTTATTATGGGCTGATGGATAACACAGTAAATGCTTACGTTTCCACCTTGTAGTAATTTCATTACAGTCAGAATGATCAGGTGTACTGTCAACCAGCTTCATAAAAATAAGATTTTTGTCCAGGTCTGCTGTAATTTTAGGACACACTGGTAACAATTTTTTTGCCTGTCTCTTCTGCTACAGTAGCATCACTTTTTCTGTCTAAAATATAAAGCCTCTAAAATATAGTGCTCAAGTTCAAGGGATCAAATCTTGCATAAGAGGTCTGTTTCTCAAGCCAGGTTAACCAAATAAACTATGAGAGCACTGAAACTCTCATTTATGTTCGCAAAGCCTATTATTTCAGGCATCACCTGATCTATTCTGACCTGAGCGTGTCACATCTTTATGTGGAAGATAAGAGCAGCCTCAGCCTGCCTGCCAGCCTGGGTCACCGTGCACGCTGTTATCCCGCAGTCCCATGTGTCTGGATGGGCAGGTCCTGCCCTGGGGTACCAGTGCACTCCGAGGAAAGAGAGCCTGCGGTGTGGCTCCCAGGGGAGGCTTCCATATCATATGCTTACAAGAACTGGTAGAGAGAAAAAGCAAACGAACCAACTAGTTATCCGTTGGTATTCATGAAGTACAGTGCTTCCAAATAAGATTTTTGGTAGCCAGGTCTTGGCAGAGGCTGAATCTCAAGGCTGAATTTATGACACTGGAAGCCCATTCATAAGAGTACTGTTGGCTACAGAAAGTGCTGTTGCTATAGAAAGCACAGGTTAACTCCTAGTACACCAAAATACGTACAGATTCCAGCTCTCTGTGATGAAACTGCTGTAGTTAAATAAATGGGGGGCCCAGGTCCTGACTTGCAGACCGTTACTCGACTTCCAGCTTGGCCAGTTATGACTTCTGGAGAGTTACGATACCTCCTCCAACCATTGCCTGCAAGGCCTGTTTGGCTCCCACAATGTATATATACAGCATGTGGACTGCTGGGACACCAGTCTCAGTTGGAGCCTTCAAAAGGCAAAAGACACATAGGTTTAACACAAGTTTAAAGTATGCAACAGCACAGCTTCTCTTTGTGTTTTTTGGTACGTTCCTCTTGCTCAGATTTGTTGTGAGATTTCTTTTGTCTCAAGAGAAGTTGGGTCTGCTGATACTCGGCTTTCAGCATGATACAAATAACAGTGCCCCTAAAAAATGAACCTTTGCCTCAGCTGCCGTGAAAGAATTCTGTGTCTTAGTTTGTACCTAACCATGAAGTTCTCTATACCAACAGGTAAGCAACCTGGCCGTCTGACCTAATGTTTGCCAAGTGTAGGAAGAATAGTCAGAGAGATGCTTTTTTTTTTTTTTTTTTTTTTAAGTCCAGGCAAACATACTGCTGAAAGGTTATAACCCTTCTTCTTTGAACTCTTTTCCTTTTCTAATTGTTGCTCCACTGGGACCCAGCTGAAAATGAGTTTAAATGCTAAATTGAGTTTAAAACTACAAGTCACAGACTCCTCTGGAAACTGGACACCATGAATAAATAGAAACATTAAATCAACTTGTTTTTTTAAGGTTTCTGCAGTCATACCAAGAGGTTGGGGAGTCCAGGAAATTGCTTCTGAAGTGAATCAGGTGTATTGTGTGGAATCTTTCATTTAAGGCTTTTTTCATTTCCTTTTTATTTATTTTTGTTTTAAACGTATAAAGGCCTGCCTAAAATAAGTTAAGAGGATTCACATTTGGAGTTAAATTTATAGTTAAGCCTCTATATAGAAGAAAGTTCCACCCAGCTCAAGAGTTTATACAGCCTGTAAGTTGGATGTGGTAGCCACATTCATTACTTATGTGGTTGAAATGAATGGTAATTAAAAGCAAATGATTGCTGGATATGTTAGGAATGCCAAAGCCACATGATCAGGACTTTAAACAAATAGCATTGGACCTTCTCCAGATTCCTGCAGTGATTTCACCACAGGATGGTAAATCAAAAGGGCTGTCCAAAAACCAGACAGCTTTATGCTGAGCTACAAATCTGAATAAATTCACAGATTACCGTATCTCAAGTGTTCATATAAAATCAGGGAGCTTTTAAAAATATATATGTCATCTCTTAAGGCTTTATGAATTCTCTTAGATAAGAGCATACCTTAAACAAATTCCTCCTGTAAAATACACGGAAGTTCTTTGAGTGCAGCTGATGAATGGGTCTCTGTTTAGATTTATCTTAGCAGTCCTCTAGCCTTGCTTAAGATATCAATTAGGAGTTGTTGATGAACGGGACTGAACATCTTTGATGTCTCTTGATGTTGTGAGTTTATCAAGGGATTCAAGGTATTGCACATGCTTCTTTTACCAGCATGAGAGAGCACACGGTTGGAAAGGCCAGGACAGGGGAACTGCTTGGCCATCATCGCACATATTATACAAATATTCCCGATTAGGACAACGCCAAGGAGCCTGGCTGATCGTTCATAAAATCACACCTTATTTACGAATGCATACAGGGACTTGTAGTGTGAAGGAAGGCTTGAATGAAGTATTCGTTTGCTATGCAGAAGGACAGAAGATTTTTTCAGAGGTATCTGCTCTAAAACTACAGGAAATGTGTACAACAGCAATACTGGGACACTTAGTTCACATGTGACTGCCTCAGCAGCTGTGCTTTGTAAACAAAGAACTCCTCATGCTATTTTATCGTCTGACAGAGTAACGGGAAAGATCAGAGCAGCGCTGTGATGCCCAGTCATTCTAGTTAGATCGTTATTTAGGAATAGGGCTGGAGTGGTCTGGAACATCACAAGAAGCCTAAAATGTGCTAGGAGAGCCTTCCTTCTGCCTTTGCCATACTCAAACATTGGCTGGCCACACACTTCCAGCAAGGCATTTTCCCTTGAAAACACAATTCCAATGGATTGACTCTCTATTACAAGTTTATGTGGTGCTGGGAGCTCACTTCCCTCAGCACCTAGCATTTGTAGCTAATACGGATTCAACACACGGAAACTGGTGCTTGGGCTTTGCTTTAGCCAGGCAGTGAAAGAACAAAGCGCGCAATTTTTTTTGTGCTTTTGAAAATTTGGGTCTTCATCTCTTTAAAACTTGGTGACTTCATCTGTAGGGGAATGCTATGTACTTGAGAAGCTCCCAGGGAAATGAGAGCATAAGTTAATAAATAGATGTTAAACATGTGAAGAGCCTCAGAGAAATATGCAAAACATTATCTCAACTAAAAAGTGTAATTTTGGAGGACAAAACTCCTTTGTTTGCCAGAGTAGTGCCACTAGACTTCTGGATTAAGCCAACACTTGAAGGGTTTCTTCTGTTCATTATTACTTGCAAAAGACGCTTGGTTAGGGAAGTTACGAGGGGAGCGAAGAAAGAACAGCCGGAAGAGTGTTCAAATAGGTTAATTCCAGGTTTATGAACAATAACAGTGCGTGTGATGACCTGCAGAGATAAGAGAAGCAAACAGCTTCTAGCTG